CGACAAGTGGAATGATGAAGATGAGGAAAATTGTGATACGAAACGGGAAACGATTGTAGAACGAGAGATAGCATTTCTCATGTCGTAGTCCATCGTTTTCGAGTGAGACGAACCTAAAAGAAAACATTTTTAACAACGCAGAAACAGTTTCACTAATGCAGAAAAAGTTCGATAGGAAAATTAACTTACCAGCTGAACACAAATATAAGTGGAACAATCCACAATCCTAAAATGATGCAACGAATCTTTCTTGTTGTTACCATCACCTTAAAGGATTACATAGATCTGGGATAAGGAGAAATTTTCATAGATATCGGGGTACCTTGTACTTTAGAGGCCACATGGTTCCGAAAAACTGATTGATGGCTAAGGCGAACAAATGCATATCAGAGGTGAGCATTCCGGAGACTCGGAATATTTCCAACCAAGCGTCAACACATTTCGATGACTTTTGCACTCCAATCACAACAGGTAGGTAAGAGTTTACCACTAGGCCTAAAGAGAGGGAATATAGGACGTTTTACGAGATTTTGTAGAGCTTCTAGTTCATTAAAATATTTCCCAAATTGAATTTGGATTGCTCAATTTCAGGACCTTTTCTTCCCGGTTTTCTAAAGGGCATCAACAAAATCTTTTCTTTAGTTTTTTTTTCCGAAAAAAAAAGAGTTTGTCTACTTAACCGTCTTTTTTGTTCCTATTACCATATTGAAAAGAATAAACAAGACAAATGACCCTCTTCCTACTGTAGTTGGCACTTGAGGAGTGCATAACAAATCCAAAATCTGCAGTTCTTTTATGGGAGAGAGGGCAATTAGCATGTAGTCTATGCCCTTAGAATGAAAAAAGAATGGTTACCTGTAATGAGCAATGACGCAGCCCACATGTCAGCTGCAGCCAAACTGATGCAAAGTTTAAGATATGGAGAGACTGGCGAAGACAAGAATGGTGCTGACACTACGATGAGTCCATTGCCAATGATAGCTAACTGGAATTGAGAACGAAT